TAGGAAAGAAAGAGGGAATGATTGCAGAGAGAGAAGAGGAGGTGACGAGTGGCAAGAGCGAGGGGAGGACAGGCAGGCGAGAGAGAGGGAGGGAGGGAGGGAGGGAGGGAGGGTTGGAGGGCGAGGAGATGAAAGGGAACAGGGAACAGGGCGGGGAGAGGAGTTACCTACATACAAAGATGTTGAGTATCGCCGCGGGATGGCCACTTAGCAGTTATTTATGTTCATGTTTGTGTCACTGGCGACTCCTGCTCCCGTCGAGTCGCTGCTGGGGGAGAGAGAGAGGGAGGAACGTCAGAGGCGAGAGGGAGAAGGGGAGAGGGAAATGAATTTATTACCTCCCTAATAGCACACTTAATTCTCCCTTATTTATGAGCTCAGAGCATGCGGTTGATTATAGTGATATACGCGGCGGGCACATGCAAGCACAATGATGAATAGCTTTTCCAGTGAAGTAAATTGGTTAACGAGTGTAAAGACCATTTTTCTCCATCACGTTCTGGTCCGGCAAGGGAGGGATGGGGGGGAGGGGGGGCAAGGAAGAGGGGGAGGGTCGAGACGAGGGAAGTACCAGGTTGAAGGTAGAAGCCAGCTACTGTGGGCAGGGGGATTTAGCCCTTGTAACACCTGCTCAAAGGGTTCAAAAGCGGTGTCGAGTCGGCCTATAATAATCTTACCGGATTTAGGAGGGTTGTGAGCGCGATGGATGGGAGGGGGAGAGGGAGAGAGGCTGGGCCAGGGGGGGGAGGGGGAGAAGGAGGCTGCGAGGGAGAGATCTGGAGGGCAGGCAGGACATCCATCACTTACGTAGGTGTTAAAACATTCTCGGGAGATAAAACATGCATCAGAGGCGGAGAGTAATTCAAAGGCTTTGATACACAGGGCGTCATAACACGCTTCAAGGGAAAGGGTTCTCTTGAGGCCCTGCGCAGGATGACAGGAAGGTCGCCAGAGGTCGCGGGAGGAATTGGATGCCGCGCTCTTGATGATTCATTGCGCATTCTGTTTATGCAATCTGTACTGACCACGCCGTGATTTCTGCAATGTCTCTGTCTCGCCGTGTGTGTGAGTGTGTGTGTGTGTGTGTGTGTGTGTGTGTGTGTGTGTGTGTGTGTGTGTGTGTGTGTGTGTGTGTGTGTGTGTGTGTCTGTCTCTGCGTTTGTCTCTATTTCTGTTTCTGGTTCGTCTTATATCTCTGCATTAGCCCCTGTGCATGTTTCTCTTTCATTCTATCTCTGTCTCTGTCTGTTTGTCTGTTTATATATTTATCTGTCTATCCTTCTATTTGTCTGTCCGTCTGTCTCCTTCCCTCCTCTCTCTCTCTCTCTCTCTCTCTCTCTCTCTCTCTCTCTCTCTCTCTCTCTCTCTCTCTCTCTCTCTCTCTCTCTCTCTCTGTCTCTCTCTCTCTCTCTCTCCCTCTCCTCTCTCTCTCCCTCCCCCACTCTCTTTCTCTATCTAACTCCCCACCTCGTCGATGAGATCAAAGTAACACACGCAACAGAACGTAATAGGTAACATTAATCTACAATCGGCGACAGGTCTGTTGATGTACACAATTGGCTGAAGGCTCAACCCTCTCATTCATGGCTTCCTGTCGTCGACGTGATCTCCCCTCCCTTCCCCTCATTTCGCTTCCCTTTCCCTCCCTTGCCCTCCCTTCCTCTTATTTCGATTCCCTTCCCCTCCTTTCCTCTCTCTTCCCCTCCCTTCCTTCCTCTCCCTTCCCCTCTCCCTTCCTCTCTCTTCCCCTCCCCTTCCTTCCTCTCCCTTCCCCTTCCTTTCCTTCCTTTTCCCTCCTTTTCCCTCTTTTCGTTTCCCTTCCCCTCCCTTTCCTTCCTTTTTCCCTTTTCGCTTTCCTTCCTTTTCCCTTCCTTTCCCTCCTTTCTCTCCCTTTCTCTCTTTTCGCTTCCCTTCCTTTTCCCTTCCTTTCCCTCCTTTCTCTCCCTTTCTCTCTATTCGCTTCCCTTCCTTCCCCTCCTTTCCTCTCCCTTCCTCTTCCTTCCCTTCCCCTTCCCCTCCTATCCCCACCTTTCCCCTCCCTTCCTTTTTGCATCAACTTGACTGCATAAACAACGATAATAAATCTGAATAGGTCACTGACGCACGCAGACATTCCCGGATGAAAATATAACGGGAAAGGAAGAGAACGAACGAGGAGGGAGGAAAAGAATGTAACAGGTGCCATTCGGTTTGGGTGCACAAACACACCCACACACACACACACACACACACACACACACACACACAAATCCACCAGGACACAAGAACCCCAACACACACACACATACACACACACGCACACACACACACACACACACACACACACACACACACACACACACACACACACACACACACACACACACACACACACACACACACACACACACACACACACACACAAACCTAGGACACACGAACCCAACACACACACACACACACACATACACACACACACACACGAATCTAGGACACACGAACCCAACACACACACACACACACACACACACACACACACACACACACACACACACACACACACACACACACACACACACACACACACACATACACACACACACACACACACACACACACACACACACAAACCCAGGACACACGAACCCAACACACACACACACACATACACATACACACAACACACACAAACCCAGGACACACGAACCCCAACACACACACACACACGCACACACACAAACCCAGGACACACGAACCCCAACACACACACACACACACACACACCTATTACCCCTCTCTTGCATCTCCCCGCAACACCTCACCGCCTGCAACATAATTAAAGTTAATCATTTTTCTGTTCGCGCTGTCTTGTGACCGCAGTACGACCCTCTTCCGTTGGTGCTTTGCTATGAAAAGGAGTCGGGAAGAACTGTGTGAGTTATTACACGTGGGCGTCACGATGAAGTGTGAAGCGGGGACGGGAAGGAGGGAGGAAGGGAGGGAGGGAGGGAAGGAGGGAGGGAGGGAATGATGGGAGGGAGTGAAGAGGGGGGGAGGGGGGAGGGGGGAAGGGAGATAGGGAGGAAGGGAGGGGAGTTAAGGGGAAGGGAGTGCAGGAGGAGGGGGGAAGGAGGAAAGGAGTGAGGAAGGGAGATAGGGAGGGAGTGAAGGGGGAGGGGGAGGGAGGGAGGGAAGGAAGGAGTAAGGGAGGATAGGAGGGAGTGAATGGGGAGGGGGGGTGAGGAAGGGAGGAAGGGGGGAATGGAGGTAGTGAAGGGGAGGGGGAGGGAAGGAGTGAGAGAGGGAGGGAGGGAGGAAGGGAGGGAGTTCAGTGTGAAGCGGGGACTGAAAGGAGTGAGGGAGGGAGAGAGGGAATGATAGGAGGGAGTGAAGGGGAAGGGGAGAATGAGGAAGGGAAAAAGGGAGGAAGGGAGGGAGGGAAGGAATGAAAGGAGGGAGTGAAGGGGGACGGGAAGGAGTGAGGGAGGGAGGGAGGGAATGATGGGAGGGAGTATATATATATATATATATGTATATATATATATATATATATATATATATATATATATATATATATATATATATATATATATAATACATATATGTATATATATACATATATATATATATATATATATATATATATATATATATATATATATATATATATATATATATATATATATACATATATATATATATATATATATATATATATATATATATATATATATATATATATATATATATATATATATATATATATATATATATATATACATATATATATATATATATATATATATATATATATATATATATATATATATATATATATGTATATATATACATATATGTATACATATATACATATATATATATATATATATATATATATATATATATATATATATATATATATATATATATATATATATGTATACATATATGTATATATATACATATATATATATATATATATATATATATATATATATATATATATATATATATATATATATATATATATATATATATATATATATATATATATATATATGAGAGAGAGAGAGAGAGAGACGGACAGATAGGTACATATAGAGAGAGAGACAAAAAGAAAAAGAGAGAAAATAAAGGTACGATTGTATCGAAGAGGTACATTCGAAGGGAGGAGAAAACGAAGCATAAATAAACTGAAGTAAAAGAGAAACGACAGAGTGGAAAGATTCAAAGAAGAAGGGAATAAGAAGGAAAAGAGGAAAGTGGGGGAAGAAGAAGAACACGAGAGGGGAAGAAATCGAAAGAGGAAATAAGGAACGGATAGGTGGATAAGTGGATGAAGGGAAAAGGAGAATAAGAAAAACAGGTAAGTAAACGAGGATGAAGGAGGTGTGAGAAAAAAGTGAAAGGAAGCAAGAAAACGAAAGAGGTAATAGGAAAGTGGAAGGGAGACAAAGGAAGTGAAACAAGTGAGAAAGCGAAGGAGAAGACGAAAGAAGGGGGAGAGGGAGCGAAGAGAGGAGAGGGAGAAGGGAGAAGGAAAGCGAGAAGGTGAGAAGACGAAAGAAAATAGGAAAGCCAAAAGAGGAGAATAAAGGAATGAAGTAAAAACGAGGACAAAAGTGAGAAGAGGAAGAAGGATGGAAGGAAAAACAAAAAAGACCGGAAGCTGAAAAAAAAACGAAAGAAAAAGCATCAGAAAAACCGAACGAGATGAAAACGAAGAAAAAAAAGGGAAGACAGACAAACGAAAGAAGAGAAAGAAGAGAATAAAAGAGCCAAGGAACCAAAGAACAGGAGGAGGATGGCAGATGATTAACGCACCCTCCCCCTCCCCCTCCTCCCCCCCTCTCTCTCGCCCCTCCTCCCTCCTCCCCCCTCTCCCCCCTCCCTCTAGCGGGCATCGTCACTGCCGTGGAAGAAAAACGAGCTGGACTGAATCAAGACGAGAATGTTGTTACGACGCGACAGGAAGAAGGAGAGAGACGGTTGTTGCTGCCTGTTTTAATTATCATAATTCATTACATCCCGCCTGCATTCCTCTTGTCTCGCCTTGCCTCGCCCTCTGCTCTCGCGTTGTCTCGCTCTTTTCTCTCGCGTTGTCTCGCTCTTTTCTCTCGCGTTGTCTCGCCCTCTGCTCTCGCGTTGTCTCGCCCTCTGCTCTCGCGTTGTCTCGCTCTTTTCTCTCGCGTTGTCTCGCCCTCTGCTCTCGCGTTGTCTCGCCCTCCTAGCTCTCCGCGTTGTCTCGCGCTTTTCTCCTCAGCGTTGCGTCTCGCCCCTCTGCTCTCGCGTTGTCTCAGCCCTCTGCTCTCGCGTTGTCTCGCCTTGTCTCGCGTTGTCTCGCCCTCTGCTCGCGTGTCTCGCCTCTCTGCTCTCGCGTTGTCCGCCTTGCTCTCGCGTTGTCTCGCCCTCTTGCTCTCGCGTTGTCTCGCCCTCTGCTCTCGCGTTGTCTCGCCCTCTGCTCTCGCGTTGTCTCGCCCTCTGCTCTCGCGTTGTCTCGCTCTTTTCTCTCGCGTTGTCTCGCCCTCTGCTCTCGCGTTGTCTCGCCCTCTGCTCTCGCGTTGTCTCGCCCTCTGCTCTCGCGTTGTCTCGCCCTCTTGCTCTCGCGTTTGTCTCGCCCTCTGCTCTCGCGTTGTCTCGCCCTCTGCTCTCTCGTTGTCTCGCCCTCTGCTCTCTCGTTGTCTCGCCCTCTGCTCTCGCGTTGTCTCGCCCTCTGCTCTCGCGTTGTCTCGCCCTCTGCTCTCGCGTTGTCTCGCTCTTTTCTCTCGCGTTGTCTCGCCCTCTGCTCTCGCGTTGTCTCGCTCTTTTCTCTCGCGTTGTCTCGCCCTCTGCTCTCGCGTTGTCTCGCCCTCTGCTCTCGCGTTGTCTCGCTCTTTTCTCTCGTGTTGTCTCGTATCTTTTAATTCTTGTATTGTCTCGTATTGCCCGTTATGTCTCGTTTTTTTTTTTTTTTTTTTTTTTTGGGGGGGGGGGGTTATTTCTCGTATTTTCTTGTTCTTTTGTTTCGTGTTGCCTCATATTTTCTCGTATTGTTTCGTGTTGCCTCATATTTTCTCGTATTGTCTTGTATGAACTCGTTCTTTTGTCTCGTATTATCTCGTTCATTGGTTTTGTATTGTCTCGAATTATCTCGTTCTTTTGTATTGTCTCGTATTTTCTTGTACTGACTCGTTCTTTTGTCACGTATTGCCTTGTCCTCTTGTCTTGTTCCCTTACCTTGTCCTCTTGTCTCGTATTGTCTCATTCTCTTGTCTCGTTCACTTGCCTCTTGTTATTCTTGTCTCGTCCCCTGGTCTCGTTTCCCTGGCCTTTTTTCTTGTCATTATTTTTTCTTGCGTGTTTCTTTGTTCTCTCTCTCTCTCTCTCTCTCTCTCTCTCTCTCTCTCTCTCTATTTCTCCTCTCTGTCTCTCCATCCCTCCATCACTAACTCTCTCTCCCTCTATCTCTCCCTCCCTTCCTCCCTCCCTTCATCCTCTCTCTCTCTCTCTCTCTCTCTCTCTCTCTCTCTCTCTCTCTCTCTCTCTCTCTCTCTCTCTCTCTCTCTCTCTCTCTCTCTCTCTCTCTTCCTATTTTCCCCTTTTTATTGCCGTTTCCACAAACCGGCCGCTCGTGTCCCTCGCTCACTCTACCTTTGCATATCAGCCTTTCTCTCTTCGGGGTCAAAACTTGAGCGAAAAAAAAAATTTGCTGCACCTTTCTCCTCCCCCCCTCCCCCTCCAACCCCTTCCTCCCCCACATTACAAAATTGCGTAGAAGGTGTTGTGGGCAGGAAGACCGCTATTACTGTAATCACGTCTTTCTATCAAATATGACGCTAGCATTAAGCTTCTAGAACATCCCCCGTGTACACCGTGTCTACACGAGTAACTCAGTCATGTCATCATTTGTTGCTGTGTGTTCGTGTATACTTGAGTGCGTGTGGGTACGCTTGTGTGTCTGGGGCGTGCATATGACGTTGTTTTGTGTGTGTGTTTGTGTGTGTGTGTGTGTGTGTGTGTGTGTGTGTGTGTGTTGAGGTGTGCGTATGCTGTTGTTGTTTTGTATGTGCGTGTATATGTGAGAGATAGATAGATAGATAGATAGATAGATAGAGAGAGAGAGAGAGAGAGAGGAGAGAGAGACAGAGAGAAAGAAAGAGAGAGAGAGAGAGAGAGAGAGAGAGAGAGAGAGAGAGAGAGAGAGAGAGAGAGAGAGAGAGAGAGAGAGAGAGAGAGAGAGAGAGAGGAGAGAGAGACACAGAGAGAGAGACAGAGAGAGAAAGAGAGAGAGAGAGAGAGAGAGAGAGAGAGAGAGAGAGAGAGAGAGAGAGAGAGAGAGAGAGAGAGAGAGAGAGAGAGAGAGAGAGTAATGATATCAAATATAGACCTAGTAGCAGTAGAGATCTGTGTTGATTTCAAAATTTTATTTACAAAACAATTTACTTGCCCTTCAAAAAGCCAGGGGAAAACATCCAAGAGTCTACCCAATCTGCCTAAACTAATATAATGATATCCAACATAGCAGTTAAAAAAAAAGAAAAGATGTTTTCCTTTTTTAGAAACATAACACATACATCCACGAATCTGACGATTACTAGGAAAAAAAACGAAAGAAAAAAAGAAGAATAAGAAAAAAAGGTAAAAAAGAAAAATAAATAAACAAATAATAGAAAAGATAACTAAGAACCATCGTTAGACTTTAAAAAAAAAGTAGTCTCGTGATCCCCCAGAATGCAAAGACAAACCACCTTATCTTAAATGTCCCAAAATCTTCCGCTCTTCCTACGTATAAAAGTCACCGACCTGCCTCACACACACACACATAACATACACAGTCGTTATGGAGTAATGGCGAAAGGGGAGATAAGTTGGGGGGGGGGGGAGAGGGGAGAGCAGTAGGAGGGGTTGTAAAGAGGGGAGAGAAATAGGAGGGTTGGGGAGGGAGGAGAGAGAGGAGGGAGGAAGTGGGGTGAGGAGGGAGGAAGTGGGGTGAGGAGGGAGGAGGGGAGGGAGGAGAGAGAGGAGGGAGGAGGGGAGGGAGGAGAGAGAGGAGGGAGGAGGGGAGGGAGGAGAGAGAGGAGGGAGGAGGGGGGGTGGGGAGGGAGGAGAACGGAGAGGGAAGAGGGAGAGGAAGTAGAGAGTGGGGCAGATTGGTGGCGACGTTAGAGAAAGCAGGAGAAGGGGAGATGGAAGGAGGATGGTATGAAAGGGGAGGTAAGGGTAGAGGGAAAGGCACAGGGGAAGTGAAGAGACGAAAAAATGGAAGAGGGGGAGGGAGAGAAGGAAAGAAAGGAGAGAAGAAGCAAAGGAGGAAGAGAGGGGGAAGAGGGTGAGAGGGGGAGAGAGAGTGAAGGGTAGAAGGGGAGAGGGCAAAGAGGGAAGAAGGAAATAAAAAGGTAGTTTCACACAATGACTCGACAACATTAAGATTTTTACTCACTTTTTATTTATTTATTTTTCTTATTCCAAAAGATCATAATTTACACCGCCGATACACATATCAGGGCATGATCGACAGATTTTGAATACTGACCCGAAAGGAAGTCGAAACCACAATATGATAGGTGGTGATTTACGATGAAATACATACGGGATACGTAATTTCACCCGTTCACATTTGACGAAAACAACACCATGTATACTCGTGTTACATTACTCTAAAAAATGTAAACAAAAAAAACAAAAAAAAACTAAGAATTTCATGTTCATTGATCGGGTAGTAGGAAGAAATGTAAGTAAGAAGGAAAGAAAGAAAGAGAAAAAAATAAAGGTCGCACGAATATAATTTTCACCCCCATCTCCGCCCAAGTAAAAATACAAAAAAAGAAAAAAAAAAAAAGATATAACTCGTAATACCACACTATCGAAAAGGGAAGACCACAAAACAAAGAAACGATACCAACAATAACAAAAAAAAACACATCACCAAACAAACGGAAAACACAGGTTATCACGTAAAAAACACGGGGCAAAGCATCTATTAAGGGCACCATAACGCTAGACTTATGGCCCATTTATGACGCTTGCAACAGCGGTAGCGACTTCACCTCCTGGCTATTACGGAGATAATGCATACAACAAGGAGAAAGAAAGAATGACGGAAACAACGAAAAATAAAACGATGACAACAGAGAGAGAGAGAGAGATGAAGGACGGGATGGAGGAGAATATAACAAAAATGAGAAATAAAAACACGTAGTAATAGTAGTAGAAGAAGAAGAACGAAGAGAAGAAAAGGAAAACGGAGTAAACAAGGAAAAAAAAACAAGAAAACATAGACAACATGGAGCAAAAACAATGACGGTAATGAAAGAAAAGGGAAGAGATAAGGGTACAAAAAGAAGGATGATAAGGAATCAAAAGACAACAACAACGAGAGAGAGAGAGAGAGAGAGAGAATAAAGAAAACTATCTCAAAGAAAGAAAGAAAATAATAAGGGAGGGGGGAAGAGATATAGAAAATAACGAGAATAGAGAAGTAAAAAAAAAACGACAATAACAAGAAAAGCAAGCAAACAAGCGAAGAACAACGGACATGAAATTATATACATTTGAAAATAATGAATCTCGAAATAACAACAACAACAACAACAGCAACAACAACAACAACAAAATAATGAGAATAAGGGAATGAGAATGGGAATAAGATAACGTGAATGATAAGAAAGATAAAGAAAAGATTATATAATGAAAGCAGGGGGATACTTGTTCCAAATAACAAGTTTTAAATCCTTCACTCCTAATGTTAGTACACTTAAGAAAATAACAGCGAAATAAACAATAATAAAAACAGAGAATGAGAATGAATAAGGAAATATAAGTAATCAAAACAAAATATTTACAAAAATATAAATCAACTAACTACCTTGACTTAAAACAAATACAAAATAAGAAGAACCAAAGAAACTATAGAGACAACAGCAACAACAACAACAACAACAACAAAAGCAACAACGATAAAAGTTTTCGATAGAGAAACTGGGCATTAATCACCAAAAAGACAACATGCAATAACGGTAGCAACAATGACAATCAAGAACAGAAAAAAATCCACAGTTGATAGCTTATTAATAGCAATTGTATCAGTCACCATATCTAATTCCGAGACTGGGGAGAAGAAAGAGAGAGAGAGAGACGGGAGAAGAAAGAGAGAGAGAGAGGGGGAGGTAGGAAGGGAAAGAGAGAGAGAGAGACTGGAGAGAAGAAAGAGAGAGGGAGAGACGGGAGAAGAAAGAGAGAGAGAGAGGGGAGGTAGGAAGGGAAAGAGAGAGAGAGACTGGAGAGAGAAGAGAGAGGGAGAGACGGGAGAAGAAGAGAGAGAGAGAGGGGAGGTAGGAAGGAAAGAGAGAGAGAGACTGGAGAGAAGAAAGAGAGAGGAGAGACTGGGAGAAGAAAGAGAGAGAGAGAGAGGGGAGGTAGGAAGGGAAAGAGAGAGAGAGACTGGAGAGAAGAAAGAGAGAGGGAGAGACGGGAGAAGAAAGAGAGAGAGAGAGGGGGAGGTAGGAAGGGAAAGAGAGAGAGAGACTGGAGAGAAGAAAGAGAGAGGGAGAGACGGGAGAAGAAAGAGAGAGAGAGAGACTGGGGAGAAGAAAGAGAGAGAGAGAGACTGGGGAGAAGAAAGAGAGAGAGAGAGACTGGAGAGAAGAAAGAGAGAGGGAGAGACGGGAGAAGAAAGAGAGAGAGAGAGACTGGGGAGAAGAAAGAGAGAGAGAGAGACTGGGGAGAAGAAAGAGAGAGAGAGAGACGGGAGAAGAAAGAGAGAGAGAGAGGGGGAGGTAGGAAGGGAAAGAGAGAGAGAGAGACTGGAGAGAAGAAAGAGAGAGGGAGAGACGGGAGAAGAAAGAGAGAGAGAGAGAGGGGGAGGTAGGAAGGGAAAGAGAGAGAGAGACTGGAGAGAAGAAAGAGAGAGGGAGAGACGGGAGAAGAAAGAGAGAGAGAGAGGGGGAGGTAGGAAGGGAAAGAGAGAGAGAGACTGGAGAGAAGAAAGAGAGAGGGAGAGACGGGAGAAGAAAGAGAGAGAGAGAGGGGGAGGTAGGAAGGGGAAGAGAGAGAAAGACTGGAGAGAAGAAAGAGAGAGAGAGACGGGAGAAGAAAGAGAGAGAGAGAGGGGGAGGTAGGAAGGGAAAGAGAGAGAGAGACTGGAGAGAAAAGAGAGAGAGAGAGAGACTGGGGAGAAGAAAGAGAGAGAGAAAGACTGGGGAGAAGAAAGAGAGAGAGAGAGGGGGAGGTTGGAAGGGAAAGAGAGAGAGAGACTGGAGAGAAAAGAGAGAGAGAGAGAGACTGGGGAGAAGAAAGAGAGAGAGAAAGACTGGGGAGAAGAAAGAGAGAGAGAGGGGGGGAGGTAGGAAGAGAGAGAGAGAGAGAGACTGGGGAGAAGATAGAGAGAGAGAGAGAGACTGAGGAAAAGAAAGAGAGAGAGAGGGAAACTGGGGAGAAGAAAGAGAGAGAGAGAGAGACTGGGGAGAAGAAAGAGAGAGAGAGAGAAAGAGAGAAAGAGAGAGAGAGAGAGAGAAAGAGAGAGAGAGAGTGGGGAGAAGAAAGAGAGAGAGAGAGAATTAAAACTACACAAAAACACAAAGCGAACACAGGCACACCTCCTATAAACAAAGCCACGAGGGAGACAGACACGAAATTTCTCGACTCATGCAACTCTTCAGAAAATTTTCGTAACACCACAAACCACCGAGTCACTGAATCTCGACCGCAGACCTTCACCAATATGTAAAAAAAAAAGATAAATGAATTGAACGAAATAAAAATAACAGCGACTTAAAACTATTGAATTTCTTTTTTTGAATTCGAAATGAACACGTCGAGAAACATACGTGTTTTAGGTCTCAAGTTCAATGTAACATACCTTAGTCTTGAACAGAACATAGGTATTTCTGACTGTGTGTGTGTGTGTGTGTGTGTGTGTGTGTGTGTGTGTGTGTGTGTGTGTGTGTGTGTGTGTGTGTGTGTGTGTGTGTGCATGTGTGTGTGTGTGTGTGTGTGCATGTGTATATATATGTATGCATTCTATGGGATTCCCTGAAATAAGACTTTTTCACCATTTCCTCTAAAATTATCAGACTGGAAATCACTACTTCTAACTCCAAATTACCCCCCTCCCCCCTCAAAAAAAAGGGAAAAGAAAAAATAATACCAATTTCAAGATATCAAACGCCAAATCAATGCAACACTTCACATCTAAAATCAACCTTAACCACACACCCAAACATTACCTTACACCCCATAAAGAATAACGTCATTCTTAAACTACTTTGTCCCCCAAAACCACTACGTCTAAACAAGAACTTGGTCTCCATACAACCATACATCGAACTGCCATTGAAACCACACAGAACCACCAAACTAAGAATATAAATCGATTTTTTTTTTCTAGACATTTCATTTATTTATTTATTTATTTATTAACGTACATATAAACAGTATTATAAATTCAACTTCGAACTGAGCTGAGAGTAGTATTCCATACATCTGTTTATTGATAACCAGTAATAACTTATAGCGTTTTGTTTGTGTCGTTGACGATATACGGCCGAATACGACCCGGGTTTATTAAATTTTATTTGTTCTAACTTTGATGAAGTGCGACATTACGTGATAACGTGGCGGAGGGAGGGGAGGGAGGGGAAGGAGTGGAGGGGGAGGAAGGGGAGGGGAGGGAGTGGAGGGGGAGGAAGGGGAGGGAGGGAGGGGGTGGAGGGGGTGGAAGGGAAGGGAGGAAAGGGAGGGAGTGAGGGGGTGGAGGAGGAGGGGGTGGAGGGGGTGGAGGGGGAGGAAGGGGAAGGAGGGGGTAGAGGGATTGGGTGAGAGGCGTAGGAGGAGGAGAGAGAGATAATGGGGGTAGGAGAAGAGAGGGAGTAAAAAGGGAAGGGGTGAGAGAAAGGGGAAGGATGGGAGGAGAGGGGTAAAGGGGAGAAAGGGAAGGAGTAATGGGGGGGGGGGGGATTAGAAGGGGGAGGCGGGCGAAGGGAAGGAATTAAAGGGGAGAGGAACAGGAGAAGAGAAGGAGGAGGAAGGGATGGGGGAAAGAGGATAAGGGTAGTAGAGGGGGAAGGGGAGAAGAGAGGAGATAATAAAGGAAGGAGTGAAAGGGGGATAGGAAAAGATGGGACACGAGCGGAAAGGGGAAGGGGAAGGGAAGGACAAAGACGGTAGGAGTAGGGTAAGAAGGGAGAATAGTGAGAAAAGGAAGAAAAGAAGGGAGGAGGGGAAAATAGTGAGGGAAGGAAGAAGAGAAGGGAGGAGGGGAAAAGGGTGAAGGAAGGAAGAAGAGAAGGGGGGACGAATGGAACGAATAGAGAAGGAAGAGAGAAAAGGAGAGTGAAGTAGGGAAGTAAATGAGGAAAATGAGCAGTGAGAGAAGAGAGGACAGCGAGAGGAGGGAGAAGGGAAGGGGAGAAGGAGTGGAAGAGGTACATGTTCTGGAAATAATTATTCCATTACCAAGTCGACAAAGCTGTCATTATGTGTACCCCTCCCCCCTCCCCCCTCCCCCCCCACAACTCCTTTGTACACAGACACTTCAATTATTGCCTTATCTATGACTGGCATTCTTTTTGGCACCATGCATCGTCGCTTGATCCCCATGTCTGTCGGCGCCGTCTCCTTCCTCGTAGACAAAGACAGCGATAAATACTCTAACAAAGAAATAAACCGACAAAGCTGAAGAAAAAAAAAAACAATGACAAATACTCAGACAAAGAAATGAACCGTCAAAAAATAACAAACAAACATGTCAAATCATCAGACAGATACAAAGACAAATATCAACGAAAACAAATGAACCGACAAATTGTAAAACAAACAAATGCAGCGACAAACATTAGGACAAAAGAACAAACACAAGGAAAACAACTAAAAAAGAACCTTCAAAGTACACATTCAGCGACAGGACGACATACGAGGATGTATTGAAAGAATAGCAAATAAACGAAGGAAACGAAGTACGTACACAAATGATAAACAAACTTAAGTGCACATAAAATATCAATCGTATATGTACACACACACACAGACACACACTTTCTTCCGTGCTTGTAGGTGACCCCCGTTCTGTTTTATTCCTTTAGATTTCATCTATGCATGCATATCATATGATAACCCATCTATTTATCTATCTACACACACACACGCACACACACACACACACATACATACACACACACACACACACACACACACACACACTGACATGCATATATTCATATACACATGAATCTATATATGCAATCTCACACACACACATATATGTATATGCACGTATGCACATGCGTGTATGTCTGACAACGAACGCGTGTGTAGGTGCAAGTAGACATTACTCGCGTGTGTTTGTATACCTTATTTTTCTTTTCACATCCCCTTCTATTTCATCTCCATCCCAGCCTCTCTCCATCCCGCGTGTCTCCCTGCGTCTATTCCCTCCCCCTCCCTCCCCTCCCTCCCCCCTCCTCCCCCTCCTCTCCCTCGCCAGCCAGGAGTGTCGCTCACTGTCAATTTAGCGTCCGTCAGCGCCCGTCTCCTCTGCGGACGCACCGTGTCCCTCGCCCTGTCCGCACCCGGTTCGCGGATTTTCATCGTATGCGGATAAGGGAATAATCGTCCCTCCTCCCCTTGCCCCCCTCCTCCGCTTCCCCTTGCCCCCCCCTCCTCCGCTTCCCCTTGCCCCCCCCCCCTCCTCCGCTTCCCCTTGCCCCCCCCCCCCTCCTCCGCTTCCCCTTGCCCCTTCCCCTTTTTAACCGAATTCCGCAACGGTTATGGGTGCCGTTGAGCCTGAAGGAAGGAGGGGTAGGGGTGAGGCAGGGGGAGGCAGGAGGGGGAGGGGCAAGGGAGGGGGAGGTGGGAGGGGCAGGGGCAGGGGCAAGGGAGGGGGAGGTGGGAGGGGCAGAGGGAGGGGGAGGAGGAGAGTGGCAGGGGAGGGTGAGAAGGAGAAGAGGGAGGGGGAAGAGGGAAGCAGAGGGGAGGAATAAAGAGGAGGGAAGCGGAGGGCAGGGGAGGGAGAGGAAGGCAGAGAAAGAGAGGAGAGGGAGAGGAAGGCAGAGAAAGAGAGGAGAGGGAGAGGAAGGCAGAGAAAGAGAGGAGAGGGAGAGGAAGGCAGAGAAAGAGAGGAGAGGGAGAGGAAGGCAGAGAAAGAGAGGAGAGGGAGAGGAAGGCAGAGAAAGAGAGGAGAGGGAGGAAGAGAGAAGCTGAAGGAAGGAGGGGGGGAGGGAGAGGAACAGAGAGGAAGGAAGGAGAGGAGGTAGGGAGAAGAGGGAAGCTTAGGGGAAGAGAGGATAAGAACAGTGGGGAAGAAGGAAGAGAAGAGGAGAGAGAGAGACATTGGGATAGAACAAGATACGAGAGAGAGAGAAGAGAGGAAGGAAGGAGTGAAGAGAACGGAGAGAGAAGAGGAAGGGAAAGAGAAGAGGAAAGAAAGGAGAAAGGAGAAGACAGAGAGAAAAGAGTGAAGAAAAGAAGACGAGACAAGCGAATAGAGGAGAGAAGGAGAGAAGAGAAGAGAATAAGGAGAAGAGAGAAAAGAAGAAAGAAAGAGAAGAGAAGGAGGAAGAAGAAGATGATTTACACACGCGATAACAACAAGCGTGTGTTTGTGTGGCTTGGCGTGGAGGGTGTGGTTGTCGAAAAATGAAAATAAATAAACAAATAAATGGCTCTTGACGACAATGTTTGGTGTTGTGGTTAAGGCTTGTGGTAGGCGTTCGTTACTAGTGCTTTTGTGGTGCGTGGTTTTAAGGTATATTGCGGTTCCCTCTTGTTACGGCGATGACTGCGATGATGACTGCTGGTGATTTGAGAATAGGGAAGCTGTCGTTAATCTTGTGGCGAGACTTGTCCTCCGCGGTGTTGTTAGTCGTAAGAAAATGTCTGTCTGTCTCTGTCTCTGTATCTGTCTGTCTCTCTTAAAACGGTTCCTTCTCTCTTAAAGCTGTCTCGTCTCTTTTATATTAGAAAAGTCTCATTCTCTCTTTTTTTTCTAATAAAAAGCCACTGCTTTTTCTTTCTTTCAAAAAATATTTCTTCTTCTTCCTCTCTCTCTTTCCCTGCCCCCCCCCCCCCTCTCTCTCCCTGTCCACCCTCTCTCTCTCTCTCTCCCTCCGTCCCTCCCTCTCCCTCTCTCCCTCTTTAAAAAACACGTCATCTTCAACAATGAATTCCCACGTAACTTTTAAAAATGTATAAGTGATCGATAAAGCTATGTCGCCACGTTTAATCAAATATCACGTGATCTGAAAGACGGCGAACAGGGTGTACTGTCATCGCCTCCTCAGATCTGGCCGAGCGGTCGCTTTTGTACGTGCGTTTGTGTGTGTGTGGTGCCCTCTTTGGATGTTTGAGAGAGAGAGAGAGAGAGAGAGAGAGAGAGAGAGAGAGAGAGAGAGAGAGAGAGAGAGAGAGAGCGAGAGAGAGAGAGAGAGAGAGAGAGAGAGGGAGAGAGAGAGGGAGAGAGAGAGAGAGAGAGAGAGAGAGAGAGAGAGAGAGAGAGATTGAGAGAGAGAGAGAGAGAGAGAGAGAGAGAGAGAGAGAGAGAGAGAGAGAGAGAGAGAGAGAGAGAGAGAGAGAGAGAGAGAGAGAGAGAGAGAGAGAGAGAGAGAGAGGAGAGAGAGAGAGGAGAGAGAGAGAGAGAGTGAGAGAGAGAGAGAGAGAGAGAGAGAGAGAGAGAGAGAGAGAGAGAGAGAGAGAGAGAGAGAGAGGAGAGAGAGAGAGAGAAAGAAGAGAGAGAGAGAAGGGAAGAGAAGAGAAGAGAAGAGGAGAGAAGAGAAGAGAAGAGAAGAGAAGAGAAGAGAGAGAGAGAGAGAGAGCGTAGAGAGCGAGAGAAAGAGCGAGAAGAAGAAAGGAAAGAGAAGAGGCGAAGTGAAAAGAGAAGAGAGGTTTTAAGGTATATTGCGGTTCCCTCTTGTTACGGCGATGACTGCGATGATGACTGCTGGTGATTTGAGAATAGGGAAGCTGTCGTTAATCTTGTGGCGAGACTTGTCCTCCGCGGTGTTGTTAGTCGTAAGAAAATGTCTGTCTGTCTTTGTCTCTGTATCTGTCTGTCTCTCTTAAAACGGTTCCTTCTCTCTGAAAGCTGTCTCGTCTCTTTTATATTAGAAAAGTCTCCTTCTCTCTTTTTTTTCTAATAAAAAGCCACTGCTTTTTCTTTCTTTCAAAAAATATTTCTTCTTCTTCCTCTCTCTCTTTCCCTGCCCCTCCCCCCTCTCTCTCTCTCCCTGTCCACCCTCTCTCTCTCTCTCTCTCCCTCCGTCCCTCCCTCTCCCTCTCTCCCTCTTTAAAAAACACGTCATCTTCAACAATGAATTCCCACGTAACTTTTAAAAATGTATAAGTGATCGATAAAGCTATGTCGCCACGTTTAATCAAATATCACGTGATCTGAAAGACGGCGAACAGGGTGTACTGTCATCGCCCTCCTCAGATCTGGCCGAGCGTCGCTTTTGTACGTGCGTTTGTGTTGTGTGTGGTGCCCTCTTTGGATGTTTGAGAGAGAGAGAGAGAGAGAGAGAGAGAGAGAGAGAGAGAGAGAGAGAGAGAGAGAGAGAGGGGAGAGAGAGAGAGAGAGAGAGAGAGAAGAGAGAGAGAGAGAGAGAGAGGAGAGAGAGAGAGAGAGAGAGAGAAGAGAAAAGAAGAGAAAAGAAGAGAAGAGGAGAGAAGAGAAGAGAAGAGAAGAGAAGAGAAGAGAAGAGAGAGAGAGAGAGAGAGAGAGAGCGTGAGAGCGAGAGAAAGAGCGAGAGAAAGAAAGAGAAGAAGAAAGGAAAGAGAAGAGGCGAAGTGAAAAGAGAGAGAGAGAAAGAGAGAGAGGGACGAGAGAGCGAGAGAGAGAGAGAGAGAGAGAGAGAGAGAGAGAGAGAGAGAGAGAGAGAGAGAGAGAGAGAGAGAGAGAGAGAGAGAAGAGAGAGAGAGAGAGAGAGAGAGAGAGAGAGAGAGAGAGAGAGAGAGAGAGAGAGAACGAAAACAAGCCCGCACGCCTGCACATGTACAAGTGAGGTTTGTCTTCAGAATGTGATTGTCTCTGCCTTTGACTGTGTGTTTGGCTGTTTTTGTTTGTGTTTGCACTTGTGTGATTATAGACCCAGCCAACAACCACAGTTTCTTTATTTGTAATCACATTAATTCGCTTATTACATATGTTGACACCATCCATCAGAGTAGGGCGTCCATTCATCTATCATCAATCATCAATCTATCGTCAATGCCTCATCAATCACAGCGGCTTGACGGGGCAGGCGTAGCGAGCTCAAAATTCATTGAACATCGCACATTTTCCCCCTCTTGAAATTTATGTTTTAACACATTACAAATTGATTAAAAAACACCTAAATCTATATCCTTTCAATTCCACGAAACATGACATTAGCAAATTATTCATCAGGCCTCCTATTCCCCCTCTGAGCCAAAAAAACAAAGGCCAATAAATGTCCGAAATATGATAGGAAGTGAAATAAAAGCAATGTACCTGCGGTCTCTAACACAGTTACGTCGAGCTCGTAGCAGGATTTTCGTAACGCTAACCTTCTCTTACCTTCCCCTCAGTAAAAAAAAAGAAAAGAAAAAAGAAAAAGAACACGAGAGAGAAAAAGAGAAAGGGAGGAAGAAAGAAAAAGATACCCACCCATTACTATCTGATTTTCATTTCGACAGCACTCTTTCTCAGTCCAAGACGCGACAGAAAATAAGCATCCCGGTGAAATTTACACCAATGGAGTCCACATTGTGTCGTGGGTATTTACGGTCAACAGTGATCAAAATACGTGCGTAATTGTTTTCTTTTTTATTTCCTTTTTTTTTTTTAATTCTTTTTTCTTTTTTTTTCTCCCACGGTTTTTGATTGTCGTAGAAATTACATTGTCGGGGATTGGCGGGCGGAGAGCTTCACAAAAGGCGAAGCTGTCTCGACACAGTGACTAAAACCCATTAGTCATGAACCAGTAATGAACTCCGCGCTGGTCCCTCGCTATTATCCCCCCACCAAATAACAGCCGTTGTATTGTTTGTTATGATAATATACAACGCCAGTTCTTATGACTTGTAAAACACGATTATACATATCACATGGTACGGCTCCAAATGCATGTGTGGATTTTTCGGTAATAACGGAGTGATTGAAATTCAAATAAATAACCCCGTAGCTGTTATCAGCCCGGTTTCATTTGGTGTCGCGGATAAATATGGCGACATTGTCATTGCAGCTGTATTATTTTGTCTGAAACATGTGGTTATTCGGTATGATAATGGTATTGTTTTTATACATAAATGCTCATCTGTATATTTGTGTATATGTGCGCGCTATTGACTGTTATCGCTGTATGGATGTTCCTGAAATGGTATGCAAACGGACTGGCTAGTGCGGACAGCGACTCACTCGAATCAACGCATGCGCACTCTCGCACGCCCGGGTGCACGCGCGCACGCACACGAGTGCACGGAAAACTTACAATATGCTCTTTGAGTCGGTCTTATCAAAGACAGTTGAACAAACGTTCGTGTACTTGAAGTTATTTTTCTACAAGAAAAAAAATGTAGCATAACACTGAGTGACGATAAGAGTATGCTTTTAGAAGTCTGTTTTCAGAGTTACT